AGTATGGTGCGTTAACAGTATTATTGTTCGTGTAATTACATTTAAAAGGATTTAAGGAATCACTTAAACACCATTTCATATAGGTAGTTAGTTTCTTTCTGTTTTTCCAAAGTAATTATCGTAATTTTTATGAAAAAAAAGCTTTCGGGCTGAAGCCCCCCCAAAATTAAATCCTGGATCCGCTAGTGGTCCATTTCCACATTCTTATATCCACCGGGCTCAGTCTAAACCCAGCCCAGCCAAATCAGCCGTAACGCAATCTACCCACCTTCTCTTTGGTCTACTCCTCGGACGCTTGCCAGTCGGTACATCACATATTAACTTTTTAGGAATTCTTTCGTCACTAAGGTCATCGATTTTACATGCTCATTTTATTCGCCTCATTTTTATCACCTCAATTATATTAAACGGATACAGTTCACGCAATTCAGCATTGTGTAACCGACTAAATTCTCCGGTTGACTCGTCCTTTTTCGGTCCGATTATTCTGCACAATACATTATTTTCAAAAACCTGAAGATGTTGTTCATCCCTTAATGTAAGCGGTAACGTTTAGCATCCATAAAGAACCGTAGATAGGGTACTGGTTTTTTAAATTCAATTTTTAAGTTTCGAGACAGGAGACGAGAATTAAGTAGTTATGAAAAAGAAAAATAACAAGAATTTTCCGCCTTCAGCCTAATCTTAAAACATTCTTCAATTTCATTTTTTCTAATCATCGTAGACCCTAGATACCTAAAATTCTTTGAGTGTTCAAACATATTCCCTTCTATATCGATAATCGAAATTGTCGCTTTTTTTGCAGCTAAACATATATTTTTTCTAATCCGTATTTACCCCGAGTCCTTGATTTTCACCTGCTTCAATCAACATTATTGTATTTAGTTTTATTGTTTCCGCATGTCTTCGCTTAACAGTTTCAAATCATCAGCATACCCAAACACTGGTATAGTTCCACGTAGGTTCAAACCTTTTTCGGTAAGCATCACCTCTCTAATGCCATGTTCTAATGTCAAATTAAACAGAACAGGCGAAAGAAAATGACCTTGTTGTAAGCTCGAACGAAATTCAGATTTCTTGGATAAATTATTACCTATTCTAACTTGATCGAGTGTTTTCGTCAAGCACATCCTAACTACGTTCATTAATTTTTTGGGGATTCCCTGCTCGGTCAGAATATTACACAGTTTCTGGCGGTAAATAGAATCGTAAGCCTTTTTGGAATCAATATACAGCTGATTTCAACACCGTTGTACTCTAATTCTTTCTCTAATATTTGTCTTAAAGAACAAAATTTGATCGATAGTTGAACGGTTCTTCCTAAATCCACATTGGTAATCTCCGATAATTTTCTCGGCGTATTCCGAAATTCGATTAGTTAAGATTAACTTGGATATTTTATAACATACCGGAAGGAGTGAAATTCTTCGATAGTTATTACAATCCGTCCTCGGGCTCTTTTTGTGAATCGGAATAAGAATGGATTCTTTATTGCGTATGATAAATGAAACAGCAGAAAAAGTTAAATTTGATATGTTAGACGACATGATCTGACAACTTGACCAATGGTTGTGCCAATAAACATACAAGAAAAAATACTAATAGAAATTAGAAATTGTATTGATAGATATTTCACTTTGTATTGTTTCGCTGTCTAGGAAAATTTGTATGTTACTTTTGAATATGATGATGAATAGGGATACTTATGAATGGTGTATGTTCAAATTTGTATTTTTTATTATGAAGTTTTTTGAGATAGTGAAGCTTATTTATTGGATGCTATATCATAATATTCGTGCTGACATTTTCACAGGTCGTCTGGTTTGTGCACCTGTATTTTTCTCACACCAATATGTGTTCGCATCTTCTAATATCTATTTCATAGTTTATCGTGAATTCCCTCTACTTTATTATAAAAATTCTCATTTTACTCGTCATTATCTTTTGTAAGAAAAGGTATGTTTATCAGTGAAATTTTAAACCTACATTTATTTGTGACGAAATATATTGTCATCCTTTAAATGAATCATAACATCTTCCACACGTCGCATGGAACTTTCCTTACATCTTAATCCTCAACGAATCTTGAATGAATGTATTATTTCCATTTTTTTTATTTATTTTTTTTATTTGGAAATATAATAATCTGTCACGTGGACAATAATTATAGTGAGATATGAACACATTCACACAATATACATAGAAAAAATAAAATTAACAAAAGTAAAATAACAACTAAATAATAATCAACCAACAAATAAAAATAAAATGACCTAAAGATAAGTACAATTATTTCAAAATAATGAATAAAATTAATACGTAACCGTTGATCAACAGGTTCTGGCCTATTTTGAGACATATGTCCTTTTTTTTTTTAGGATCTATAGTATTTCATAGTAACAATAAGAAATCGTCGAGGTCAACCTTCATCCAAGATACTTTTTCGTTCCTAAGGTGTTCCTCAGGGTTAGTGTTGCCCAAATGCGAGACCCATACGAGTCTTGGACTTGCAAACTCAGTTTTGGTCATGCGCAAGAGTCTCGCAACGGTCTTGCAGTTACTTATTAGCTTATTACTATAGAGATATAACTGTATTTTTTTTAGATAGGGAATACCTAACTAAGCCCTAATGACAATTTAGAGGAGTTAAATGCAAAAGTATATTCGTTATAGCAATTATTTACATATAGTAACTAAGATTGTGAAGTATTAGTAACTGTTTTGCCTTAATTTTTATTTAAAAAATCGATTTTTTTTACCAGTCCTGGTCTTGGTCTTGCAATAGTTAGGCAGCCTTGGTCTTGGTCTTGCAAAGACCGATTTTGAGCAACACTACTCAGGGTTCGTCTATCTCTCTCACTATGTTTATTCTTTGAGAAATTCGGATTTCTAACGGCTAATTTTGTATTGGGTAGTTGATAGAATCTGAATGAAATTTTTTTCTTTAAAGAGCAATTAAAACGTTCCTTGGAGATTCCATTCCTTTTTCAATCTAAACCCAGTTCCCAAAAAATTGTAAGTAAATGTTCCTTTTTTTTTAAATGTTTTTAATTTGCAATACAAATTTTTAAATAGATAGATTAATTTTTTTATTTGATTTTTATACATATAGTATAAAATATTATTTGTATATTCCTAAATGTATATTAAGACATTTTAAGTGATTTATCTTTAAAGGTATCGTTATAACAAAAATTTAGGCATTGCATTATTTTTCATTTTGTTTATTACCATGGTTACAACCGTGTGCTTCATTTATATAAATGATTTCTGATCCACCACTGTCAACAACATATCTATTCTGATGACTTCCAAATGCACCTGTACCATCTTTCTATCTATTAACAGCTACAAAATACTACAAGAGAAAATGAACGAATTAGTCACTCGACAATATCTTGATTAATTTAATGTGGCAATTCAAATCAGGGTGGTTGGGAAAATTTTAATATATTTCTAATATATCGATATTTTTATTAAGCATGAGATAAATAATGAACACATTTTTTTTTTTACAAATACATTTTATTTTATCCATTTTAGAATAAACATTTTTTTTTTCTATTTACATCCCAGTAATAAAATGTTTTTCTTCATTTTTTTTTGTTCCTAGTAAAATTTGTATGGGTTTCAGTCATCAACTCAAATTATATTTTACCATTTTTCTAGTGTGAATGTGTTCTCTGAACAATATTTGAAATGTCCTTAATTGTGACATATTGTAATATTTCTGAATAAATAAGTTTAAAACTATTTTCTAACCTATTGAGCGATTTAATTTTTTCCTTTAGTTCTTAGCAAAAAGGCTTTTTAAAAATATATGTTAATTAATATTTTTTTCAGATTTGTAGTTATTCATTCAATATTGAATTTTTTCCTTCAGTTTTAATTTAATTTTTATCTTCAAGACATTTTATTGATTTGATTTTAGTTGTTAATATTAATATTATATTTTGTTATAAACAGTACATAATTATTTAACTGTTATTGCAAATTCTATTAAAGTTATTACAAATTCTAAATATCAATTCAATGTTACTACTGTCCCCAGTGGCATTAGGGCGCCGATCATCAGCAATACTTGCATATTTTTAATCATTTCAAAAATTCATTAAAACGTATTAAAATAATTAATTTTAGCCTGTTAATAAAGCAATTGTATTAGAGAAATATTGAATGAATTAAAATTCAAATATTAAATGATATAAAACAGCTTAAGAATCTTTTTTTAGAGTAGGATCACGATGTATGTCTAAGGTACTGAGTATACCCTTTTCTTAGATTTTCTACAACGGCCAACCAAACCGCGAGTTTTGATAGATGTTTTATTATGTTCTCGTTCCTAGGGGATTCTTTTTTTCAATCTAAATCCAGGTCCCAAAAAATTTTAAGTAAAGATTCCTTTTTAAAAAATGTTTTTGATTTTTAATAACAAATTTTGAATAGGTAGATTAATTTTTTTAGTTGATTTTTATACATATTGTATAAAATATTATTTGTATATTTCTAAAAGTGTTCTTATTAGTGTTGCTCAAATGCGAGACCGAGACGAGTCTTGGTCATGGTCTTGGTCTTGCCCAAGAGTCTCGCAACAGTCTTACAGTAACTTATTGGCTTATTACTATAGATATATTACTATAATTTTTAGATAGAAGAAATCTAACTAAGCCCGAATGAAAAATTAGAGGAGTTAAATGCAAAAGTATATATGCAAATGGATGGTTATACCAATTATTAACATATAGTAACATAAATTGTCGAGTAGTAATAACTGTTTTGCCAAAATTTTTATTTAAAAATCGATTTTTTTTACCACTCCTGGTCTTGGTCTTACAACAGTAAGGCGGCCTTGGTCTTGGTCTTGCAAAGTGAAAGACCAAGACCGATTTTGGGCAACACTAATTCTTATTAACAACTTTGGCTCATTTGTTGAGGTGCTACACATTAAAATAAACTTGGTAATTTTAGTTTCTTAATACTATTATTTATTATTTTTTTAGGTGGCCCAGATGGTCAAAAAATCTTCGTCACGGCCCCAAGGTTCAAACCCGGCAATCCAGCAACTCTTGCAACAGTAGCCCCCAATGGTGCTCTCCAGCCTTACCCCCACTGGAACTGGCACAGGGAGGGAAATTGTGATGGCATCACTTCAGTCTTCAGGATAGACGTAAGTTTCATCACTGTGCATAGATAAATTTGTAATTCGTCCACGCAGGATACCAATGAAAAGAAATAACATTATAAATACTTTTTTTTTTAAATTATTTTAATGGAATTTACAACTGTATTACATAGAAAATACAATAAGTAAATGTGATATTGGTAACATGACATGTACTAAGAATGAAGAGAAACTACCCATTGGTAGAACTCAAATTAAAGTTCTATATTAGAAGATCCCGAGGCCATCGTCTTTTCAGACGCCTCGGAGGGATAAATAAATTAAAGAAAAGAATAAAAACACTAAGATTCCCTTTATACGGTTAAACAGATTGTTTATGGCCAAACAGTCTGAAACCATTAAGGCTCGTGGGCGGGGTGGCCGATTAGGCTAACGCGTTGTGCACAGTATCACCGTTGCGTGGCAACCTGATATATGATAATTGATATAAAAATAGTCATGAGTTCGCGTCCCGGTGCCAGGGCGTCTTTTAAATCCCTGCCACACCCCCTGGCCCCGAAAAACCCCGTATAGCCTTAACGGCGAGGAAGGGGAGGACCCAAAAAAACAAAAACATTAAGGCTTCTCTGACAAAAGTGGAAAACTATAATTTTTATTAATCCTTTTTTTTTTTAAAGTTCAATGCATAGCTAAAATAAATATTTAGCTGCTCAACTAGTCAAAAAACGTTTATCAATACAACTTTTACGGTTTTTTTTTTTTTTTTTTGCAAAATTTAGGAATTCTAACTTTCTTTTATGAATGTTTCTGTTATCGTATGTCTTAATCGTAAAATAGCAACAATTCAGCTAATATTAACGAATATTAAAAACTCGTTCACAAATAAGTCAAAAAATTCATTACAAACATCCTAGATATAGAAAAAATATTTTTATTCTAAGATACTAATAATAGATTCTCTGTGCTATTTTTTTTATTTTTTTTTTATTTAGAAATATAACAATCTGTCACGTGGACAATAATTATAGTGATATATGATGTAACACATTCATACCATATATACAGAAAATACAAAATTACCAAAACTAAAATGTTAATCAAAAACTATGTACAATAAAAAATAAAAAACCTAAAAATAAATAAATTAAAAACACAATCATACCTATATACAATCAGGCAGAGAACCCTAAGCCAGGCTTCTTCCTCCAACTATAGAAGGAAAAACGGGACTTCAAGAGATCCCTGCGCTATTCTCTCAACCGCGTCACTGCTGCTAAAGCCAGTGGAGTTTGAGAGAGAGCGCTTTAGCCACATACACTCATGTCTTGAGTGGAGAATCTGGCCATTGTCAGAACTCCCACATATATACTACAATAGATCTCTGGGCCACTGACGCTTCAACCTTCGAGGAGGATTGTAGAGATGAGTGGAACTAGATAGGGATTGTCTGTGCTAAATAAAAAACAAAAAAGTTTTCTTTTTTTTTTTTTTACTAAAAGTTCCAAAAGGCTAATCGATTCCAAATATATAATTTCAAGGAAGAAGTTTGTATGTATCCAAAATTTTAAACAGGCTTTTTCTTTCGTTTCTTTTCTCTTCAAACATTCATTCATTATGAAGTTTGCATTTTATTAAAATTAAACCATAATTCACATTAAATACTAGTTCTATTAGGGGGAGGGGAGAGGGGGGGAAATACGCCAATTTCTGTGACATTCTTATATAAACTTAGCTATTTTTATAAGCCAGAAAATCAAGAATGATAAAGATTCCAAATATGAACAAAAAATAAAATACAAATTTTTAATGAACAGTTTTTTGCAAATAGCATTATATTGTTATGAAAATTATTTAAATAAAAATAAAACTTATCGTACAACCACATTTGCAACTTGTAATTAATTTTATGATCTTATTTGCACTAATAATTTTTTATTTTATTTTATACTAAGTCGTGGAGGCTTATTAGCCATAACACTTCGAACAGGTTGGTAAACTTTAGATCTCCTTCCATAAGTATTTTTATTGGCACTTTTCCTCCTTATATCTCCCAAGGTAAGGCACGTGTCTAGGTGTTTCACTTGTTGCAGAGTGGGCACTTAGACAACGAGACACATTGTAGACTCTGAGAGGTAAATAATTAACAATTTAAAAGTATATAAGATCATTTAAATTTAATGGATCGGAGGGGGGAGGAAGGGAATTTAGCATTAATTCAGTCACGATTTTTTTTCTTTTAAAAAAGGTTGATATTGTTGGCCATCTAACCTTAATAGATATTTCGAATGATACAAGAATTTAGAAAGTCTAGAAATTACAGTTTATGATTTTATGGTATAAATATACTTTGGGTATATTAATTATCTAGTCCATAAATGGTCCTAGGATTATTGCCAGGATGAGCAAGTTTAATTTCGTGGTCCCTGCTTTCATCACTCGCGGCCTCCAAAATTAATGTATACGTTTTATAATAATGTGGCTAAAGTGCTCTCGATCAATCTCCGTTGGCTTTAGTACCAGTGATTTTATTCTATTTATTGTATATACTTTTTGATTATTATTTAATGTTATTTTGCTTCTATTTATTTTATATTTTTTGTACATATAGTGTGAATGTTATCCTACCTCACTATAACTAATTTCTAAGTGACAGATTGTTGTAATAGTCGGTAAATAAATAAAATAAAATAAAACATTTTATAACAATATTTAAGGCAATATATTTCGACAAAAATATCACCATCTTATAATATAAACTAATTTCATTGGCTAATTTAAGGTCAAAACAACCAAAAAGCAGAAACAAAATTTAGTGCCCTCTAAATTTTACTGTCTGGAGCTAGACACCCTTTGCCCCGGCCCTCTTCAGCTTCTACTTAACCTTCAAAAAGAAAAAAAGTTTCTAACTGATATAGTTATTGTAGTTTCTTTCCAGTTATGTGCAATGAGTTTCTCGAACATTTGATATTGTATGTTCGCCTAACTGTCTCATTAACGAACTAAAAGATTACCAAACAAACAAAATATGGCGCAGTAGGCGCATCACTTACCATCCTCGTCCTGTTAGAAATAAGTATTTTCCGACAAAGGAGAAGGGACTTATTTTTAAAGAATATAGTTATTTTTCAATTTCTCTCACCCTCTCTCTCAATCTCTCTCTATGAGTGTATATATATATATAATACATTGTATCCTAACGATACTATAACTCATTACTTCACTTACTTTATCTTGTAAGTTCTTCAATTTCTTAATCTGGTAACCTGTACTATTTTAATATCAACTGATATTTTATTTTATTTTTTTTGGACCAATTAAGATTTATGGAATGTACTCTTTCGTTAGCTCTGATGAAGACCTAGGTCGAAAAATCGACATATACAATATAATGCTATTATATATAGCATATGATATATAGTTTATACATTGACCGCACCTCCTACCAACTACTTCCAAAATTAAAATCTAGGTCAAACGACTCCACACGATTAAAAGGTATATTATTCTGTATCAGGTTTTAATATTTCGTCAGTGTTATGAAATTTTTCCCTTCCAAGAGATCCCCTATTACGTGAAGTTCCTGATAATAGTTGCAACATTCAAACCTTGAACCTCACGTTTTGGAAAGCCAAAAATAGTTAAGATATACTATCTCACCTATCTGCATAAATGATGGAAGACCTCCATTCGTTTTTTTTTAATTGGTGAAAGCAGACAACTTGTGGATCGGCGCGATAGCAACCCCACCCAAACGTATTATACTTATAATCTAACTCATAACTATATGTCGATAATTATAAAAACATCTATGAGATGGTGAAATAATGAAGAGTTGTACAGAATCCATATTTTTAGATGGAAAAATTCTTGTTCAAACAAAAATCGTATTCGTTGCATTATGAACTTTGGTTTGATGATAGAACTAACAAATCGATGATTGCATTGCAGTTCAACTCCATTGCAGTTCAACCAGACTAGGTAATCATCAATATTGGTATTTCACTGCAGTCAGATGGGTGTAAAGAAGCGAGTATTGTCAACTGCATTATCTAATATACGAGCCTTTCCGATGAAAGAATGACAGAATGAAGAATGAAAGAACTCCAATTTCAACATTTTTGATTATTAATTTTAGTGATATTTCTAGTGGAAAAATTTATTCATTCACAGTTCTATATTTCAACATTGCAACCACCTACTCTGGAATCAATTTACTCACTGTCTGTACAAATATTATAAAGTTTCCAACTAGAAATATCACTAATATGACATTACTCAATCTGTCCTTTGTTTAGACAACATATGAATCAAAACAGAAGAATTATCATTTGTTAATCATCACCTTAATTTTCGAATTCTATATTTTGATCATCGATGGACGCGTTAATGGTACTTGTTCGTGTGAGATTTCGAAGTCAGGGCATAGCTGGTTATACAGATTGTTAGGCAGACTATCCAGCTCTATCGTGCACGATTACTGATTTGTCGCGGATAAAGGAATCCATGCAAACCTTTCACCAATCGTTCGAAAAGTATTTTACATATTCAATGAGCAACTGTTAAAATGATGTTGAGAAACGCTGCTTGATATAAAAGTACCATTTTCTCAATTCAAGACATAACTTAGAACCTTTTTTTTTGTCAGTGTATATATTGAAATCACCATTGGAATGTTCGCTAGTATTGTAATAGTACTGAAAAACATTTAATTTTAGTATGAATAGAATACTTTTTTTATTAATACAATACATTCCAATGTAATATTAATATACTCGAACTTCCATCACTTTATAATTATTAATTAAGAGCTATATAATTAATAATAAATTATGTTTGTAAATACAAATCGTATTTTATTCTTGCAAGTATCTGAATTTTTAATGAAAATGATATGGTTAATATTAGAAGTTTTCATTTTATAAAACTCAGCTGTCAAGAGATGGAAAGTTATAGTAATAATGAATATGGTCTTTCAATTAAAATAAGTTCTTACAATTATTTTAAATTATATGAAACTGTTATTCAAACTTTTTCTTATTAAGTAA